TTTCAGATGCAATCTTAAACAGAATATATACAGTGTTTTAATATTAGTCTGCCTTAGTCATTTATATTTATTGCCTCTGCTTATCTGCCTGCAGCTGGACAAAGAACAAACATTTCATGAAAAAACTGAGTATCAAGACAACAAAAGATACAAAATACATGATTCCAGTAGGATCTTGGAGGTCCCAAAATACATAAACAAACTAGTATGAAAAGGTCTTTCTAATAACATAACACAATTCAAGCCCCCAACTTATTTTACACTCCACTGGCTACAGTCGCCATGCATCAGCACCAACTGATTTCACGCTTTATAGGCTGGGAAACAGTCCGCAGCGTAGTCTCTTTCACACTCCACTGACAAGGTAACCCCACAGCTCACCAGCTTAACTGCTCCAAGTTTAATGTTAGCACCTATTATTGACCACCTCGAAAAGCAGTCAGATAAAAGCTTTAATGTAACTGAACAACAGCAATATAATATGTAACAGAAAGGTAGAGAGAAAAAGTTTGCTTCCTACTCTGCATATGTAACTGGTGGCAGGGGGCAGGGAGAAAAGAAAAAGACTCACTCCTAAAACTTCCCTCATTACACATCTGGAGGTTGGTCTGTTTCTACAGTTATTGGAAATTAGTTCCTCTCCTGGGTTTATTCTGGGTTTAACTGACATCCTATAGTTGACAATAAAGGATCTCAAATAGACAAGGCTTTGGGGGCTTTACCTCAACCTTGACATGCATTAAACCTGATTTTTTTTTCCTCTTTAAAATTCACAGAGAAAAGCTAATAAACCACTGAGTAAATTTTGAAAGTAGAGGCCACCGGACTTAATCTCAGCTAAGTGTCACATATATCATCTCATTTGATCCCAACTACAATACTAAGAGGTAGCTATTATTATCGCAACTTTACAGATGAGAAATCTGAAACTTAAGTTACTAAAGATCACACAGTTTCCAAGTGTTGAATAGGACCTCAAAGTCTCTGTACATAACTACTACACTAGACTAGAACACGTGCCTTCTAAAAATTGTGTTGGGGTAAAAATGCATAGCACAGAATAGTTTAATTTTTAAAATACCAAATCATAATAACAACAAAAATGAATTAATTGTAAATGAGGTAGGGTCTGTCTGTTAGAGACATAGTTACAGCTCTTTATCTATCGCCTTCCTCCTTGGGGCTATACCAGCAAGTGTGAAATGTCTCTGGTGAAAAACTGAAAAACCAAAAGCAAGTTTCAGGCAAAGAAGGCATTAGCAACTTAATAAATTTAAGAGTTTCTCTTCTATGCAGTTTCAAAGTTTACTAATTGGAGTTTCAAGAATAACAAATAATTACAATACAGTAACTTCTTCAAAACAATGTTACTTTAAGGAACAGAATGCCTGTATACAGGGCTACAGAAGGCTTTCAAAAAAGAATCATCTGCTAAAGGGACATGGCTCAGGTATTTAAACAATTTTTATCTAGTATTCTCATGATACAAAGAGAAAGATAATTGTTAAAGATGGGTAAAAACCAACAATAGGCAATGGCAATTTTTTTTTTAACCATCAAAAAATACTTATTAAGTGCACATATTATATTGACATCACTGCTGGGGTAGTAGAAATTATAAGGTAGAACTACAAGTAACAATATGGTTTAAAACACATGAGTTAAAAATGAAGCTTCCCCTTAAGATGTCTCTACTTAATTGGAAAGATTTTTTTAAATGTTGTTTTAAGGGAATATAAGTCTCTAACTGCCAAATAAAGAGAAAAGCAGTAAATAATAGAAAGCAGAGGAGAAAAATATCACTAATGGCTTGGAATGGGTGAGGAAAATGTCATAAAGTGGGTGGAACTGAGGGTAGGCCTTTAGAACCAGATACTCAAACACAGAATTGACGGGAGACATTACAAGTGGAAAGAACAGACTCAACATGTGAAGAGGCAAAAAGTCAGAAAGTGTTATTTTGGAGAGTTACAGAAACTAGTTGTCTTAGTTCAGGCTGCTATAACAAAGTACCACAGACTGGGTGGCTTAAGCACAACAAAAATTTCTCATAATTCTGATAGCTAGAAGTCCAAGGTCAGGGTGCCAGCATGGCCTGGTTCTGGAGCAGGCCCTCTTCTACGTTGCAGTGGGTTGAGAATAGATGTGTATATGTACATGTATATGCATATGCATATGCATATGTTATCTCATATAGCAGAAAGAGAGCAAGCTAGCTCCCTGGCTGCTGCTTGTTTTTTGTTTGTTTGTTTTGTTTTTTTGAGATGGAGTTTTTGCTCTTATTGCCCAGACTGGAGTACAATGGTGTACTCTTAGCTCACCACAACCTCTGCCTCCTGGGTTCAAGTGATTCTCCTGCCTCAGCCTCCCAAGCAGCTGGGATCACAGGCATGCACCACCATGCTGGCTAACTTTTTGTATTTAGTAGGGACAGGGTTTCACGACATTGGTCAGGCTGGTTTCGAACTCCTGACCTCAGGTGAGCCACCCGCCTCGGCCTCCCAAAGTGCTGGAATTACAGGGGTGAGTCACCATACCTGGCCCCTGGCTTCTTCTTACAAGGGTAGTCATCTCATTCATGAGGGCTCCACCCTGATGACTAAATTACATCTGGAAGGCCCCACCTCCAAATACCATCACACTGGGGACTAGATTTCAACATATGAGTTTAGGGAGAACACAAACATTCAGTCCCCAGTACTAGTCTGGGCTACAGCCAAAGGTTCATTGTAGCAAAGCTATTTACTTTGTATAACTATTTTCATACTGAAAGAAAGAATTGAACCATAAGTTGCCCACATTAAATTCTACTCCACAACCCAAATAATATCCGTAAATTCCTGCCTTCATGTCTGACAATGCTGGCTGTAGAAACAGTAACAGCTGATAGTATATGTATCAAATCAATCAAATAAACAACAAGATACACATTCATCTGAGATGAATGGCATAGCCATTGTGGATCTAGATATGGTAACTGGCCTTACTACTACTACAATAATTCTTGGAAAAGATAAGCCCTATCCCCATTACCCGTACCTTTCCAGTTTCATTTCCTGGTATGATGTGATATTTCTAGTCTCCTCAGAAGTTTTAATTCCATCCAACCCATGCTTTCATCAATAGAATATATAACCTTACAGGGTTTCTTGTTATTTGTATTTTTGAAAAAGTCTCACTCTGGCACCCAGGCTGGAGCGCACTGGTGCAATCACAGCTCACTGCAACCTCTGCCTCCCTGGCTCAAGCTATTGTCATGCCTCAGCCTCCCAAATAGCTGGGATTACAGGCATACCCCACCATGGCCAGCTAATTTTTTGTATTCATAGTAGAGATGGGGTTTCCCTGTGTTGGCCAGGCTGGTCTTGAACTCCGGGTCTCAAGTCATCTGCCCACCTGGGCCTCCCAAAGTGCTGGGATTACAGGGGTGAGCTGCCACACCCAGCCAAACTTACAGTTTAGATGACAGAATGAATAACACCTTAAAAGGAAAGGTGAAATACAGTATTTCCACCCCACCCTCTAGCTATTTGTTTCAGAGCTATATTAGCAGAACCCAACAACTAAAACACCTTCCATTCAAACTGCCCACAAAACTTAGAAGCTGCTCTGCTCGTCTCACTTCTTCCCCTCCCCATCTTCTCTGTAACTTACACACAACCACCTCACTCTGCTGTCCACTTTCCCCTACTGCTGCCCAACAATTCACAGGCTGTCACAGATTGTCAGCACTGCGTTTGGGGACTTGAGAAGTACTCTTGTGGGACAGCACGGTGTGTTAGTACAGCATTTTCCCAGATACAATGTCACTCTTTATAGCCAGCTGCAAATTAGTTTCTTCTTAAAAAAAAAATAATACTCCTAATAAGACAGGTACAAGGAGATTTCAAATAACCAAGATTAAAACTCATGTTGATTTGCTCTGAGACCAAGGCCTTTTCAGTCATGCACAATGAAATCCTACGCTTCTACTCACATGAGCTATGCAAAACATCTAGAAATACCTAAGACTGTTTTCTGATGCTAACAAAAGCAAAAAGACTAAGAAAAAACCCAATCTAAGGATAATCTTGTTTCTTTTTTCTGTGCCTAGAGTTCCTCATCCCTGGATTCTATTTGAGACTACGTAGTTTAAACTCAGCTCTCAACATCAACATTTATTTCTCACTGTGTTTAGCTGTGCAAAACCATTTAAGAGAAAATTCGGCAAATCACCAGTATTGTGTCATAATTTCCATCCAAGTTTTGCAATGTGCGTCAGCAGCACATGAGTATATTTATCTTCTGACAATCGCTGTGACCAACCCTCTGGTTACCATTAAAGCTATCACCCTACGCACTGGCTAGCCCATTGTCACTGGCTACACAGGAGAGTCAGAAGCTGAAATATACTCAAAAGATCATCAGAGGATGTGAGTAAGAAAACCTCACAAAACAGTAGGTTTTATCAACCTACTAAATCTTCCTTGAAAAAAAAAATTTTAACTGACAATAAATACTTATAGGGTAATATTTAAACATTAAAACCAGTTACCTTTTTTCATTTCTAAGTTATTTAACAACATTTTTCATTCTGTTTTATAATACTTCACTATTTAAATGACCACCTATTCTTCCTGAATCAGTTAATCAAACCCTTGAGATAACACTGCATCTCTGCTGCTTACTATATAACTAGGGAAGCCAGAGCTTAAGAAGGATGTTAACTCTCACTGTTACAGTGGAAAGAGACAGAGCAAAGCTGGTAATCCAACTTTGAAAACTAATCCCAATATTTAAACAGCACCTGTTCTCTCTACTACAAACAATAAAATTAAAACAGACAGTAAACAGAAGTAAGAAAATCTTCAAAAGACCCTACATCTTTCAGGAAACTGCCATTTTCAAACTCGTTTTACATGACAGTTACAAAATAAAATGACACTAAAAACAAAATACAAGCAAACAAATCTTTAAACAGACAATATTTCTATAAAATATGCATAATAAAGGCAACTTACCATATAAGTGACATTTTATTTTCTTAATAATAAAACTCTACAACATGCAGATACACTGTGTCTGAAGGCAAATTATACAAAAGTTCCTTTCTAACCGACAGCAGCCTCACCTAAAAAACAGTAATAATAAAAGTTATTTTTATACAGTTATTTCTTTGACACCTGTCTAGGCACTTAACTTTCATTATTTCACTTGGTAAATACTAAGAGTTTAACACAGTGATTTGCCACAGAATGTGCAATGAAGACACACATATAAAAACACTTTTAGAAGCTCATCAACCAGACAGAATAAGGAAAAAGCATCTTCTGTCATTCTCAGACCTGCGGATAGGAAAGTATAACTGTCAACAACAACAAAAAAGACACAAAATAACAAAAATCACAAAAAAGAGACCAGGCATGGTGGCTCACGCCTATAATCCAGCACTTTGGGAAGCCAAGACAGACAGACCACTGGAGCTCAGGTTTTCAACACCAACCTGGACAACATGGCAAAACCCCATCTCTACAAAAAAATACAAAAATCAGCTAAGCATGGTAGCATGCAATTGTACTCCCAGCTATTCAAGAGGCTGAGTTGGAAGCATCACTTGGGCCCAGAAGGTCAAGGCTGCAGTGAGCTGTGATCGCACCACTGCACTCCAAACTGGGTGACACAATGAGATCCTATCTCAAACATGCACACACACACAGATATAGAGACAAACATATACAGATGTTCAACTTATAATCATTACTACAGTTTTAACGCATGGGATAGGTTACGGAACATGATGGATACTCAGTAAGTATATGCTGGCTGGCTGACAGGCTAGCCGAATGGTGGATGGATTAAAAAATAAAACCTCATCAGTTAGCAAAGAAACGCAATCTAAACATACTTTGTTTTGCTATAAAAATGGCAAATATTAAAAAAAAAAAAAGCTCTATTTTGCTGAAAGTCAACAGATAGGGCTCAAACACACTGGCAGTGGAGGTACACATTTTACTAATACGGAAAGCTGTGAACACTGTTTCAGAAACTTGGGTGTGTCAAAAAGCCTTTGACAAGGCAATTCTCCTTTGATTAATTTATCATAAGGAGTAACTGGACTTCTACAAGGATACTTACTTTTTCCAGAACTGTTTATAGCAGTAAAAAAAAATTTTTTTTTTTTAATCGTATTTGGGCTCTGGGGTACATGTGCATGTCTTGCATCCTGCAGGATTGTTGCATAGGCACATACATGCCATGGTGGTTTGCTGTCTCCATTGCCCCACCCCCATTGCCTACGTCAGGCATTTCTCCCTGTGTTATCCCCTCCTATCCTCCCTGCCCACACACCACCCGCTGACCCTCCCTTCCCTTCCACATCCCCCCACCTAGCCCTGTGAGTGTTGTTCCCTTCCCTGTGCCCAAGTATTCTCATTGTTCATCACTCGCCTATGAGTGAAAAGGTGGTGTTTGGTTTTCTGTTGTCAGTTTGCTGAGAATGATGGTTTCTAGATTCATCCATGTCTCTACAAAGGACACAAACTCATCGTTTTTTAAGGCTGCATGGTATTCCACAGCGTGTATGTGCCACATTTTTTTGGTCCAGTCTATCATGAATGGGCATTTGGTTGGTTCCAGGTCTTTGCTATCGTAAACACTGCCGCAATAAACATACATGTACATGTGTCTTTATGATAGTACAATTTATAATCTTTTGGGTATACACCCAGTAATGGATTGCTACACTGTCTTCCACAATGGTTGAACTAATTTACACTCCCACCAACAGTGTAAAAGTGTTCCTTTTTCTCCACATCCTCTCCAGCATCTGTTGTCTCCAGATTTTTTAACGATCACCATTCTAAGTGAGATGGTATCTCAATGTGGTTGATTTGTATTTCTCTAATGACCAGTGATGATGAGATTTTTTTCATATGTTTTTCGCCACAGATTTGTCTTCTTTTGAAAAATGTCTCTTCGTATCCTTCACCCTCTTTTGGATGGTTTTTTTTTTTCCTGTAAATCTGCTTTAGTTCTTTGCAGATTCTGGATACTTTGTCTGATGGGTAGAGTATGAAAATTTTTTCCCATTCTGTTGGTTGCCTGTTTAGTCTAATGATTGTTTCTTTTGCTGTGCAGAAGCTCTTAAGTTTAATTAGGTCCCATTTGTCTATTTTGGCTTTTGTTGCCATTGCTTTTGATGTTTTAGTCATGAAGTCCTTGCCTGTGCCTATGTCCTCAATGGTGTGCCTAGGTTTTCTTCTAGGGTTTTTATACTGTTAGCTCTTATGTTTAAATCTTTAATCCATCTGGAGTTAATTTTTGTATAAGGTGTAAGGAAGGGGTCCAGTTTCAGTTTCCTGCACATGGCTAGCCAGTTTTCCCAACATCACTTATTAATCAGGGAATCCTTTCCCCATTGCAGGTTTGTCAAGATCAGATGGTTGTGGATCTGTGGCGTTGCCTCCGAGGCCTCTGTTCTGTTCCACTGGTCGATATCTCGGTTTTGGTACCAGTACCACGCATGCTGTTCTGATTACTGTAGCCTTATGGTATAGTTTGAAGTCCAGAAGTGTGATGCCTCCAGCTTTGTTCTTTTTGCGTACAATTGTCTTGGCTGTGCGGGCTCTCTTTTTGGTTCCATATGAAGTTTAAAGTGGTTTTTTCCAGTTCTGTGAAGGAGGTCACTGGTAGCTTCATGGGGATAGCACTGAATCTATAAATTACTTTGGGCAGTTATGGCCATTTTCACAATATTGGTTCTTCCTAACCATGAGCATGGAATGTTTTTCCATCTGTTTGTGTCCTCTCTTATTTCCTTGATCAGTGGTTTGTAGTTCTCCTTAAAGAGCTCTTTTACTTCCTTTCTTAGTTGTATTCCTAGGTATTTTATTCTCTTTGTAGTAATTGTAAATGGGAGTTCACTCATGATTTGGCTCTCTGTCTCTTATTGGTGTATAGGAATGCTTGTGGTTTCTGCACATTGATTTTGTATCCTGAGACTTTGCCGAAGTTGCTTATCAGCTTAAGGAAGTTTTGGGCTGAGATGATGGGTCTTCTAAGTATACGATCATATAATCTGCAAATAGGAACAATTTGACTTCTTCTTTTCCTAATTGAATGCCCTTTGTTTCTTTTTCTTGCCTGATTGCTCTGGCTAGAACTTCCAGTACTGTATCAAATAGGAGTGGTGAGAGAGGACATTCTTGTCTAGCGCCAGTTTTTAAAGAAAATGCTTCTAATTTTTGCCCATTCAGTATGATACTGGCTGTGGGTTTGTCGTAAATAGCTTTTATTGTTTTCAGATATGTTCCGTTGACACCTAGTTTATTGACGGTTTTTAGCATAAAGGCTGTTGAATTTTGTTGAAGGCCTTCTCTGCAATCTATTGAGATAATTATGTGGTTTTTGCCTTTGGTTCTGCTTATGTGATGAATTACGTTTACAGATTTGCCTATGTTGAACCAGCCTTGCGTTCCCCATTTGAAGCCTACTTGATCATGGTGAATAAGCTTTTTGAAGTGCTGTTGGATTTGGTTTGCCAGTATTTTGGTTTTTTTTTTGCATTAATGTTGATCATGGATATTGGCCTGTAGTTTTCTTTTTTAGTTGTGTCTCTGCCAGATTTTGTTACCAGGATGATGTTGGTCTCATAGAAACAGATAAGGAGGATTCCCTCTTTGTGTATTGTTTGGAATAGTTTCAACAGGAATGGTACCAGCTCCTCTTTGTATGTCTCATATAATTCAGCTGTGAACCCAACTGGACCTGGACTTTTTTTGATCAGTAGGCTATTAATTGCTTCCTAGACTTCAGACCTTGTTACTGGTCTATTCAGGGTTTCAACTTCTTCTTGGCTTAGTCTTGGGAGTGTACAAGTGTCCAGGAATTTATCCATTTCTTCCAGACTTACTGCTTTATTTGCATAGAGTTGTTTGTAGTCATCTCTGATGGTAGTTTGTATTTCCGAGGAATTGGTGGTGATCTCCCCTTTATCATTTTTTATTGCATCTTTTCGATTATTCTCTCTTTTCTTTTTTATTAGTCTAGCTAGCAATCTATTGTGTTGATCTTTCCAAAAACCAGCTCCTGGGTTTATTGATTTTTTTGAAGGTTTTTTGTGTCTCTATCTCTTTCATGTCTGCTCTGATCTTAGTTATTTCTTGTCTTCTGCTAGGTTTTGAGTTTTTTTGATCTTGCTCCTCTAGCTCTTTCAATTTTGACAACAGGGTGCTGATTTTGGATCTTTTCTTGTTTCTCATGTGGGCATTTATTGCTATAAATTTCCCTCTAGACACTGCTTTAAATGTGTCCCAAAGGATCTGGTATGTTGTGTCTTCATTCTCTTTGGTTTCAAAGAACATTTTTATTTCTGCCTTCATTTCATTGTTTATCCTTTCGTCATTCAGGAGCAAGTTGTTCAGTTTCCATGTGATTGTGTGGTTTTGAGTGCTTTTCTTAATCCTGAGTTCTAATTTGATTGTGCTGTTGTCTGAGAGACTGTTTGTTTTGATTTCCGTTCTTTTGCATTTGCTGAGGAATGATTTACTTCCAATTATGTGGTCAATTCTGGAGTAAGTGCAATGTGGTGCTGAAAAGAATGTGTACTCTGTGGATTTGGGGTGGAGTGTCCTGTAAATGTCTATTAGGTCCACTTGGTACAAACTTGTGTTCAAGTCCTGGATATCCTTGTTGACTTTTTGTCTGGTTGATCTGTCCAATATTGTCAGTGGAGTGTTAAAGTCTCCCACTATTACTGTGCAGGAGTCTGTCTCTTTGTAGGTCATGAAGAACTTGCTTTATGTATCTGGGTGCTCCTGCATTGGGTGCATATATATTTAGGATAGTTAGCTCTTCTTGTTGCATTGATTCTTTTACCAGGTAATGCCCTCCTTTATCTCTTTTGATCTTTGCTGGTTTAAAGTCCGTTTTATCAGAGACTAGGATTGCTACCCCGGGTTTTTTTTTGTTTGTTTTGTTTTGCTCTCCACTAGCTTAGTAAATCTTCTTCCATCCCTTTGAGTCTATGTGAGTCTTTGCATGTGAGATGGGTCTCCTGAATACAGCACACCGATGGTTCTTGACTTTTTATCCAGTTCGCCAGTCTGTGTCTTTTGAATGGGGCATTTAGGC